AAATGACATAAAAACCTTTGCTGTATATTCTGTCCATGAATTATGTTGTATGTTTGAAATGATACAAGATGTTTTTCCAAATGTTTTGTTTTTAATCTACTAGCCAATTTTGCAAGCAGAAAACAAGAAAACAGAAAATTCCAATCAACTTAAATTATCCAATTTTATTCTTCTTCATCATGACAATTGACAATTTCTTCAATCTTTTTCTTTTTTCTTTCCCTTTGCAAAAGAAACAATTTAATACTTGGCCAAATGAATTCGATGAATAATAAAAAAAAACCAGGAACAGAAATTCTTTCTTTGCTATGATAATAAATCAACCGAGGATTTTCATTTCAAAAAAAGTAAAGAACTAGAGAATTTGTCAGAATATAAAGATATAGAGAGACAAAGACAAAACTAAGATTAAGATATAGTAAATTTAATAATAACAAAGTGAACAAAAAATGACAGAATAATGACCATGAAAAAAAATATAGGGAAGAATCGGATGGGGGGGATTGGAAGGAAAGAATCGGGCGGGAGGATGAGAATTAGGAGGGAGTAACAGAGAGAGAAAAAAAAAGAGATTCATTTGAATTTAAATGTCAATGCTTTACATATTGTGATTATAATTATGTGTGTTACATATAATTGATTGGGTGTTTTTTAGAAATTTTTCCGGCAAAAAAAAAATGTTTCCGAAATATTTCTCAATATTTTCAGTATACTTACTTTTCCACTCCCTCATCTCCACCAAAACCATTCTTATATTGACAATATTTTAAAAACAAAATGAAAAAAAAATTCACCTTTCAAACTTTCAAATTACACACACACACAAGCACACAAATCATTGATTGAACCCAAAAAAATTACGACAAACGAGCAAACAAGCAACCAGAAAACCCAAATCTCTTGTGTAAATATATTATTATTAAAAATGTCATGTTCAAAAGAATCAAAATTCTATGTTTTGCTGAGTTTTCACTGAATTCTATGACAGTTTGTCCGCACATTTTTTTTTTTGGTTCAGAATCCAGAATTTGATGGACACACACCGAGAGCAAGCGAGAGAAATCTAATAGAAATTGATTCTGTGAACACACACACAGAGAGAGATTCTTCTTTTCACTTTCCCTGTTACTTTTCACTTACCGTTTGTTTCTGGTTGTGTGTGTGTGTGTAGGATGACCACAAATTTGATTAACAAGAAAAAATACAACCAGAAAAACCAGAAAAAAATCTATTTATGGATTTCCATCATCATCACTAAAAAAAGGCAAACCAAAGAAAAAAAAAATATGATCCGATTATACCCCGAAAAAACAATTCTGAGTTTTTTTTTCGTCCATAACCAGACATAAAAAATCTTTTTTCATTTGTCAACACTGTTATTCTTTTGATCAAGGGGAAAAAACTAGAGAAATTTGACAGAAATTTTCAGAAAAATTTTCTTTGTTGTCATCAAATTCCCAAGGAAATTTTTCCACACAAAAGAATTTGACAATCTCACTTTATCATCATCATCATCGACAACACAATGAATCGATGATCGAATACCATTACCACACATTGTCACATCACACACAAACTTTGGTCATCAAATTGAAAGATCATCATCATCATCGTGATGATCAATGGCGATCATTGTTGTTGTTGTTGTTTGGATTAATCGACCATAAATAAAAACGACTATTTTCATCCAACTCGATCAAAACTGAATTGGAGAAAAAAAAGGATAAAAAGAGCGATGTTAAACTCATTTCAACGATAAATTCCTTTCATTTTATTTTTTTCATTCTGAAAATAATACGGCTATTTGAACAATAATCGATATTCGAATATCGATCAATCGATCGATCGATGATCGTGATCATGATTGACCAATGAAGCTTAAATTAAACTTTTTTTTTGTTTGTTGTACACGCAAACGCGATTGTCTATTGTCATAAATTGTTCGTTGTTTGCTTGTTAGTAGATTGATTCCGGGGATCAATAAAGTTATGTAATGATGATGATGATAAAGTAGTTGCAAAAAAAAGATCCAATCAAGTTTTAGTTTTTAGTACCGAGATGATTTTAGATAGATCAAAAGATGGATAGTTAGAGAGAGAGAGAGAAGGGAAAATCGATAAAAAATTCTTGCAAATTGAAAAAAAACTTTACATAATTTAACAACAACAACAAACATTTTCAAACAGAATCTTCATTATTCTGCTGATTTGATTATTGAATTTATGCAATTTCTTTCCTGCTTCGGCATCTCAATTTCAATTTTTTTGATTTGATTTGATTAACCCAAAACAAATTAGATTTGAATATGAGAAAAAAAACCAGAAAAACTTTTTCCCACAAAAAATGAATAGATAAAGCCATTTTCAAATTTAAATTTTAAATTACTTAATTTACTTAATTTGCCCAAAAAAACGAAACTGGTTGATTAGAAACCCAAAGAATATTCTTTAGAAAGAAATGGATCACCAAAGAATTTTTCCTTTTGATAATTACATTTCCCTCTCTCTCTCTCATTGCTTGCATTCTCTTGGAATTCTTTTTTCTTTTCTTCAATCAGAAAATAATTCAAAAAAAACGTAAACATTTCAATGGAAAACTCGAAAATATGATTAATGATCCATCATCAATTTGTTGTTGTGTTTATCTTGGAAAAATTTTTCATTCGTTCGTTTTGGTTTGTCAAAACCATTCCTAATAAGAAAATTTTCTTCAAAACAAAAACAAACTTCAAGAAAAAAAATCAATGGATAATTTTGTCAGAAATGTACGCCTAGAACAAATTTTTTCTCGGAAAATTTCCGGAAAATAAGATTCAGAGAAGAAGAAGTAAGAACGCAAAGGAAAGATGATGATGTTTTTGATGATTGTTTGATGGAATTGAGGAGAAAAGAGAAAAACCATTTACAAAGATTAAAAAATTCAATTTAAATAATGTAAATTTTTTTTTCTTTCAATCTCTAGTCACATATGATTTGATTTCAGGTAGAAAAAATCCATAAAGAAAAATAAATGCAATTATTTTTCGCGAGAAAGTTTCTCGAAAATTTCAAATTAATTTCCCTCTTCGAAAAAAAACACTTTCAACTTGCCACCATCATCATCATCACTTATCAGAATCTAGAAAAAAAAACAAAAGAAATTTTCCCGAAAACATTTGTGACGTCAATTTTAATTTTAAAACATTTTTTTTTCTTTCACTTTTTACTTCTCAGTTTCTGGTTGATTGAACAATTTGAAATGTAAACTGATCCGATTGTTATCCTGATCATCATCATCATCATCAAAGCAGGGAATTTTTTCTCTGCTTTTTTCAATTGATTTTTGATTGATTGAACCAAAAAGAGAGAGAGAGAGAGAGAAAAAAGAATCCATTGTTTTTTACATCTTTCAAAAATTCTATTTTTTATTCTGGGAAATTTTTTTTGTTTCATTTCTCGGAAACTTTCTCCATTTGTCTTTGTGTTTTTTTCCTTTCCTTCTTCTTCTTTCAATTCGGCTATTTTCATCGTCGTCGTCGTCGTTGATGATGATGATAATCATAAGGAAAAATTTATTCAAACGGAAATTCCATGTCTTTGTTGTTGTCGGTTGTTTCTGGTTGTTGTTGTTGTTGTCTTTGTTGTTGTTGTTGTTGTTGGTTTGATTAATTATTATAGCTACTGGTTTTGGAATCTAAATTCTGTTCTAATGATGAATAATGAAAAGCAATGAAATTTCAACAAGATAAAAACAACCAAACAAACAACAACAACAAAACAGAAAAAGATTTTTATTTTTCCAAAAATAAAAAAAAACAGAAATAAGAAAACAAAATAATTAATGTTCTTCGCTGTATTTTTCTCAAAAACTATATCAACATTAGTGTTGAAATAGTGTATGAAATAAAACAAAACAAATGAAAAAATAGCCGATTTTCACTTAATAATCATCCATTCATTCACATTATCTTAAGGAATTTCGGTTCAGTTTCTTTACTGTTTCGGTTATTCGGTTATTATTATCATTATTAATGTTTACAGGGATTTCTCGTTTTCCATTTTGTTTGAATTCCATAATCATCATTGTCCGATTTTCGCCAAACAACAACAAACATTGGTGGTGGGGGAAAAAACCACCCGTAAATCTCATAATTTATTATCAATCTGTCGAGGCATTTGGGTTATCACCCAAAACAAAACAAAACAAAAAAAGTTAATTAGCCGTTGTTAATGATAAACAATAACAACAACAACAAGAATTTTTCTTTCTTTTTTGTCTCTATTTCAACCCAAATGTGTAGGAATGAAAACAATTAGTTTTTCATTTCAGTTTGCAAAATGTATTTTGTCGTGTGGGTGGGTGTACATATAGTCACTATATTATAGTGTATTCGGAATATTCTGGATAAAAAATGATTTGTCCATGTCGTTGTTGTTGTTGTTGTTGTTGTTGTTTATTCCTGAGAAAAGAACGAAAGTTGAAAACATGGAAAATCACTTAGAATCTTTTCTGTTTTCTGTTTTTGTTTTTTGTTTTTGAAAAATGCATAAAGACATTCTGTACACGAATTCAGAGAGAGAATGAGAGAATTTCGATCATGTGACTTTTAGGAATGATTTTTTGTTTACGATTTTTGATCCAAGAATGAAATGAAATTTTTCAATATTCAAACGAAAATGAGAAATTGTTTTTGACATGCACCCACCACACACCATTCAGGGAAATTTTTTGTTTGTTTGGTTGATTTGGTTTTCGCGCTCAAAAATTTGATTTTTCAATTTTAAAAAAAACAAACATTTCAAAGAGAAATTCTAAAAACGAAAAACGAATATTTTTTTCAAGCAAAAATTTAATTAACGAACAATTTTCCATTTTGATTTTCCAAAATTCGTAATTTAGAATTTTTTTTCTTCGTTTCTGAATTAGAATTTTTTTTTGTAATTTTGGGTTATAAAATCCCATAATAATTTTCCCATTGAAGAAATAATTGTTTTGCTGTGATTTTGTTGTTTTGCTGCTTTATTTTTTTTTCTCTTGTTTACAAACCAAATTACAAACAAACAAACGAAAAAAATGTTCAAATCAATCAATATAATAATGATTATTGTGATTATAAACAGCCAATATCGACCAATCGAAACATGGAAAAGATATTTTCAAAAAGAAAATGGAAAAAATTATTCATATAATAATTATGATAATCGTAATAATTGTGATGGTATAGTAACATCACAAATATTTTTAAAACAATTAACAACACTTGGTATTGTTGGTAATACAATATATACATATAATTTCGATCATAAAATAAGTATTTTTCCATCGGCTAAATGGCGTACATCACCATATATAAATGGTGTTTATCTAATGGATGGTTTAACAATTGATGATTCATTATTTTATCCAAAAATTTTAAAACATTGGCCATTTCAAATAATTGTCAATGATATTTTTGGTCGTTATACTGATATTAAAATAATTCTTGCAGCATTACTTGAAGGCAATCAAGAACCATTTATAGAATTTGCTCAAATAATTCAACCTGAATCAAATAGACGTATGCATAGTAATGTTAGAATGGCAATAACACGTAGTGATCGTAAACGTATAAATAGAACAAATAATAATGATGATATTGAATATGTTGGAAAATATGATAAATATTTTGATGATTTTTCAAAAAAATTTGATATTGATAATGATGATGATGATTATATGATACATTTTTGGTTACGTAATCCAGAAACTGGTACTGGATTTAAACATTTATTATATTATGCAAAAGATCAAGATGAATCATTATTGATGGGTGAATTTTTAAGTCCAATGGATGTTAATGTTAATTTAATACCAATGAATATAAATGGTGAATTTGCAGCAATTACTATACAACAAATGCCATATGGTCGTCCAGGTATTTATCAAGTACATTTATATAATTCAACACCACGTTTAAATAAACCATATGGACAATTATGTCATCAAAATAAATATATTGATGATTATATTTATCTTATATTAGATACTGAAGATCATTTAATATGTAAATCAACACAACCATTATTAGATATTTATGAATTTGGTTTTACATTATTCGATGATTATATTTATCTAGTATCAACTGTACATGATAAAATTATACGTATTAATAAATCAATATTAAAAATATCAATGGCTTATAATGAATTTCGTATTGATAAATTAGAATATCGTGAATTTTTTATGTGTTTTTTACCATATGCTTGGCCAATACCTGGTATTGATTTACAAAATTTTAAACAAAAAAATCGTACATTAATACCAAAATTTTGGTTTTTATCACGTTTTAATATTATTAATAATATTATTATTATTATAATATTTATAAAATTATTATTATTATCATTATATATACTGTATCTTTATTTTGTACGTTGGCCCGAAGAATTATCATTAACAAAAACAATCAAAAGTCAATCAAAATCGCAATCAAAATCACAATCCAAATCGCAATCAAAATCACAATCAGATCCAGATAAAGACCAAGTAACAACGAATAATAAAACCGGAATTAATACCGGTTATTATAAACAACCAAATATGAAAAATGAGTGAATGAAAAAAAATGTAATGTTTTTTTTAACAGTGAAAAACGAAAAAAATAAAATTTTACTAACTAACTAACTAATGAGATTTTTGTAAATGTTTTGCATCATTGTTTGCGGTGTTGTTGGTGATGATAATCTGATGATGATTACGGGAAAAACAAACAAACCCGGAAAACTGAAACTTTTTCTCGCACATCGATTTACGATAGAACCCAAACCGAACCAGCCAACCACAATAATAAAATGTCAAACATGTTTTGAAAAATATGATTTACGGATTTCGTTTTTTTCTTTGCTTTTCGTTTTATTTTTCTCTATTTCCTTATGGGTTATTTTTTTTCGTTCTCATCGTTTTGTTATGTTCAAATTGCGTGCCAAATCAGAAACCGAAAACCAAAAACCAAACCAGAAAAACTGAAAAACGAAAAGAAAACCATATTTGAAAACCAAACCAAAACCAGAAAATCAAATATCCATCCATCCATCGCGGATCCAAACAAACAAACATTATTTATTTATTTACATTGCAAAAAATTTAGTGGATATTAAATTTCAAATGATGATCATGATCATCATCCTCATGATGTTTTCTTTCTTCATCTTTCGATTTCTATTTGTTTATCGTTTTTGTTTGTTTTTTCTTACTTTCCAAATCAAAAAAAAAATCGAAAAACTTCCAGAATATCGATCAATCGATGATGATGTTTTTCCTGTATACATTTTTTTTCCGGGAATATTCCCGGGAATAAAACCAAAAAGGAATCCTTTTTTTTGTTGTTGACTTTAAGAGAGGAAGTCAGCAACAAACAACAACAACAAAAATCTTAATCAGAATGACGACAGAAAACAAAACAAAACAAACAACAGACCGTTAGATAGACCAAAAATCACTTAGTTTAATTAAAATGTTGTTGTTGTTGTCGGCGTTATTGTTGTTGATTTTTTATTCTTGAAAAAAATACTCATCAACAACAACAACAACAACAACAATAAAGAGAGAGAGATAAAAATGAGACAAAATGAATATATAAAAGGAGAAATATTCTGTAAGGAAAAATATTCCGGGAAAATTTTCTTGTCTTTTGTCTTATTTTGGTTTTTTGGCTTTTTGGCTTTTTGGTGATGATGATGATCCAAAAAAACATTTGATTTTTATTATTAAAGAATATTCTTTTCTCTTGTTTTTCTGCTTTGAAAGATACATAATTCTTGTTGACATAAACATTTTGATTCTTGATTCTTGATTCTTTAATTTTATTTTTATTTGCTTTTCATGTCTTTTTTTTCTTGCAATGGAATTTCTCAATTCAATTCAATTCAATTCGAACATTGTTTTTTGTCAATAGACACTGTGTGTGTGTGTGACAGAATAACCGAGAATATAACCGAGAAAAAAATGAATTATGACAAATGAAAAAAGCCATGTTGTAGTCCAGTCCGATGCGAACATCAAGCCGAGTTTACTTTTTTCATTTATCCCGAAAAAAACCAACAACAACAAATATGATCGACAAACAATAGAGAAATATTTTCGGCAAAAATGAAATGAAAAACTGGGAAAAAGTTCCGGATGAATCACGCAAATCATTGAAAACCACCAATGAGAAATTTATTTGAAATTGGTTGAGAAACAAAACCAGAAAAAAAGATGTTTTTTCCTGGAATGGAAATGTAATAGGACAGAGAATTTCTTCGGGAGAAATTTTCCGGAAAAAAAAGTTTTCGGCAAATTTTTTCATTTATCATTTAAAATGAAATTTGACAAATTTTTTAATGAATTTTTTTTCTGTTTTGTTTCGTTTTTTTAAATCTAGATTTTTACAACCAACCGACATGAATGAAGCATTCTTGGTCGAAGCAAACAAAAAAAATCGATGAAATCATCATCAACTGAACCGAAAAGATTGACGATGTTACATCATTGGAATTTCTCTTTGTTCATCTTCTGAACTTCGAATGAACAACATGAATAATCGATTGGATTTTTACAAATTTTAATCGATCGCTTTATCAACAACAACAACAAGATTGATGGCCAAATTCAAATTCAAATTCGAAGAAAGAAAAACATGATCCAAACGGACAAAAAATCGATCAAAAATCGATTTTGAATGAAAAAAAACGAAATTTACCGATTTTATCATGGCCTGAATGATCATTGAATTTTTTTGGTTTTGGGATTTTTGAAGATTTTGAAATTATCGAAATCAACCATTTTTTTATTGTTGTTTGTTTGTTAAACAGACAATATGTCAACCAAAACAACAACAACAAAACAAAATGAACAGAAAAAAAGACAAAATCAATTTAAATTGATCAAAAATCAATCAAATCAATCAATATTTTTAATAAATATGATTGGTAATATTGAAAATTTAGATGAACCTGATATGATGATGATGAATGAAACAACAACAACAACAACAACAACAACATCGATAACAACAACAACAACAACCGATTCGATTGATACAACAACAACAACAACAATCAATCGTTTTACGAAATCATCGTCGAATCCGAATCACCAGAATCAACAGCCACCATCACCATTAAAAATATCGAAAAAAATGTCACCAACATTTCAAATGTATTCAAGTGGTACAGCAATACGACGTACATTTTCTATTCATTATGATCAGATTAATGAAATGAATCATGGTGGTGGTGGTGGGGATGGTGGGGTTGGTGATTATCAGAATTATGATAATAACATTCCATCAACAACGACGACAGCGACATCATTGCCAAATGTCAACGATAATGATGGTGATAATAAATCAGAAAATCAAAGATCTTCATCATCAACGAAATCATCATCGATTCCAAAATGTCCATCATTACCAAATTCACCATCACCAACAATGACGATGAATAAAACATCAACCATACCTTCGACGGCGACAGGTAGACAACGTCGTTATCGACTAACAAAACGTCGTACCTTGTCGAATCATTCCAATAATTCGTTAATCAATCATAAACAACGTTCAGAATCCGAATCAAATTCATATAATATTTATGATAATGATAATAATGATGATGATGGCGGTGATTATTCTACTTATTCATCACCACATTCGATGGAAACAACAACGTCAACAACAACAACAACACCTGGTTCAGCATCAAGTACAGGTTCATCATCATCATCATCGAATCAATATTTTAAAAAATTTACTTATGGATCGATTGAACAACAACAACAACAACAACAACCAGTATCAACATCATCATCATCATCATCATTTTTTCATAAACGTTTTAATCAGACAATGAATTTTTTACAACGACAAAATAGTTCAGATGAATCATTATTATTTAATGAACAACAACAACAACAACAAGGACGTTTACAATCATCACCATCACCAACATCGACAACAACAGCGACAACAACAACAAATATATTACGTTCACCATTACATTATCGTACAAATCGTTTTCTACAATTTGCACATCATAAATCTAATTCATTACCTATTAATGATTTAATAACAACAACAACAACAACAACAACAACAGGGACATCGACAACAACAAAAATAGCGACAACAACAACAACAACAACAATGTCTGTCGATAATCAGCAGTTATTTAAAACACGTTCAATTGAAAATGTATTGATTAAACAACGTACTGTTGATGATACAATCATGTCATTATCGTTGAATAATAACCGCGATAACGTTGATGATAATGATGACGGAATAATGATGATTAAATCATCATCATTAAATGTACCAAATATAATCATCATTGATGATGATGATGGTGATGATCAATTCAAATTTTTAATGAATGATGATGAATTATCAATGACAAAAACATCAATTATAAGGTAAGTGTGTGTGGGCGTTCGGAAAGATTTTTCCCATTTTTGCATTGGCATTGATGAAGAACTTTTGCTTTGCTTTTTCTTCTTTGAAGAATGGTTTTTTATCTTTTTCTGTTCTTTCATTCAATAATTTGATTATCGATCAATATTTTTTTTGGAATTGGAATTTGATTTGATAAAAAATCAAATATAGAATGGGGATGAAATATATCCCTGTTTCTCCTTTTGCATCATTCAATTATCCACCCACATACAAACATCCACCCCCACCTACACCCAAATAACTCAATCTCGACAAAGGAATTCCACATTTTCAATCATCCACCCACTTTATTTGCTAAATGAAATAAAATGATTTTTTTTTTCGATGAAATTGATCGTCAGGACAGTAAGAGAAGCAGCAGAAAATCAGCAAAACAAAAAATGGTGATGATTGGAAAAATCCAAAAAATCATTTTTGATCCAAAAGAAAAACATGATCACCATGACAGCTACTGTTTCACGAAAAAAATGATGAATCAAAAAAAAAAATCATATTTCAACTAGATTTACTTGGCTATTTTGCTGGCTCTGAAATTCTTGATGAATCAGGCTTTTTTCGCTTCTTCTTTCTGCTTGTTTGTTTTACAAAATGACCATCATCATTATCATTATAAAAGCATCATAATGGTCATTACAACATTTGTTTGTTTGTCGAGGGTGTTTTTTTTTTAAAAAAACTTTTTTTAAATTTTTCAATCAAGAATCAGAATTTCTCTAAAATGAACAAAAAAAACATTAACGAAGAAAAACCAAAACTAGATTGTTGAACTTTTTTTGTGTGTGTGTGCTGGCCAGCAGCTACCATCATCATCATCATAGAATTTTTTTTTCAATGGAAACTTTTCACTCCCCCATTTCTAGAAATTTTCATTCCAGATGGTCATCTTTGTTCAGGGAAAACAATCCTGAACACAGAGAAATATTCTATGCATGTGGGTGTATATAGTCGGAATGAAAAAAAGACAAATTTTCTAGTTTTCAATTGTTTTTTTTTCTATCATTTGAGAATTCTCTTTTTGTTTGTTGTTGTTGTCTGTTTGTCAATAAAACAACAACAACAAACAGACAACAACAACAACAAACAGACAACAACAACAAAAAGAGACAGCAGCCGAACATTAGAGAAT